TTTTTTTTTTACAAGAATTCCTTTCCCGTGGCTGACCAGCAGTTAATGTATCACCAAGACACAACAAACGCTAGAACGGCCCCCGTATAACAATGTGGCTTGAAGTCTACAATCTCTTTCTACTCCCATCAGAAAGCATGCGGTTAAGTTCATAGAGTGGTGTAACTCTACTGTACTGTCTCTGCAGTGCATCCACAGAGACGTCAAGCCGGAGAATATTCTCATCACCAAGCATCAAGTCATCAAACTCTGCGACTTTGGCTTTGCCAGGATACTCAGTAAGTTTATCAGCAGCTGCAACAGTGTTGACAGTGCCCCTTAGTGGTTACTGTTACCATTACAAGTGCATATTCATATTTACAACTTAATGAATGTTACCCTAAACTTGGTTAATTACTTGCTGGATAGTTTCAGTGCTTCAGCAAAGATTCACATAGAAGAGTTCAAGGCTTGTTGCTAATGTTTGTTTTAATCCCTCATTCAGAAATGATTCCCTGAAAACCAACAGAAATCCCCAACAACAAACTTAAGATATTCAGTTCACTGTCACACAATGAAAAAGAGCAAAGTGTCTCTTTCTGGGTTAAATTTTGACAACATTCGCTGTATTGAATTACAGGAAAACAGCTAAATGATGTTTGCAGCTCGGGGATTACTCACTGAATGAGTCTTTGCAGAACCTATGCGTGTTTTCACTGATAGTTGAAATGATGTTGGATCTTGTGCATTTCTGTGTTTGGCAGCTGGTCCGTGTGACTACTACACCGACTACGTCGCGACCCGCTGGTATCGCGCCCCCGAATTGCTGGTGGGAGACACTCAGTATGGCCCCCCAGTGGACGTGTGGGCAATCGGTTGCCTGTTTGCTGAGCTCCTCTCGGGGACACCTCTGTGGCCCGGGAAGTCGGACATGGACCAGCTGTACCTTATCATAAAGACCCTCGGTAAGATCAGCCTCCTGCGTAAAATGCCTTTACAATTTCGGAGAAACAATATCTTATAGCAATTTTTTTCCTAATTTTAGCAGTGAGGTATAACGCGTTATACTCGCTATTCGCTGTGTGATTATGTTCCAGGAGATCTGATTCCTCGACACCAGCAGGTCTTCAGCAACAACCAGTTCTTCTGTGGAGTATCCATTCCAGAGCCACAACAGATGGTGACGACGAGTTTTGCTTCCTTTATTTCAGTCAGAAAAGGCCGAATAAAGATCATTTCACTGAAATAATAAATGAACAAAAAGAAATATCTAACCTTGTGACTGTTTTTTCAAAAAGTCCTTTTGTTCTTCGATTTCTGCAGGAATCTTTGGAGCAAAAGTATCCAAACCTCTCACATCAAACTCTGAGCCTGATGAAGGTGAAGTTGTTTTTATTTTAATGTTTGCAGTTCTTCCTGTTGCTGTTTTGCAAAACTGACAAATTCTGGTGCTTTGTCCACACGTGATGGTGCAGGGCTGTCTGCGGATGGACCCGTCTGAGCGGCTGACCTGTGAGCAGCTCCTCCAGCATCCGTACTTCGACAGCCTGAGAGAAAGAAACGAGAGCACATCTCGACAGCAGGACCGCTCCGGCAACAAAAGGACACGTTTACCTCGCAGACACGT